GAGACGATCAACATGATCAACAACCACCATGGGGGACAAGACAATCAACACCCAACGGGATTAACACCTGACAGGATCAACACCCAACGCAATCAACACAGAAGCCTACATACGCCAAGACACGCCGCCGGATATCGACTTCAAGGATAAGCACGGCTAGTACCCTACGGTGTCTTCGGATATTGTCAGGAGAGACGAAAGTGCTATCTTTGATCTCGCCGAGCACGAATTCGAGGTGGAAGGCTATCCTGTTGTCGACTACGAGTCAGATCGTCAGACCGCCATGTCGACAACAGTTAGATAGGTTACCCCAAACATTGTACTGGTGTGATTATCATGAATAAGAGCAATACCGGCTTCGGCCAACAGGATGTAGGGTTATTACCTGACCGCTCAGGGACCCAAACCTGTATAAAAATCCTCGTCTCCATCTCTTTTACCTCAGTCTCGCGTATACCCTAGTACCGACGATCCCCATACTATGCAAATACCAGAATTGCGACATCAAACGTAGATAATATGTATGTATATTATGTATATATGCACACGTATATACATATGATGCATATAGTATATATGAGAGACTAGAGGGGGGGCGATTGACCGCGCGCCTCCTCGCGCGCGCAGCTGATCGCGTATCAGCACCCCGGGGGGAGGGGGGACAAGTCGACTTGTTCGCAGCTAACTTTTCGTTAAGTTGATTGATATCACTTATTCTCAACACCATATATCTTTTCACTCCTAAATTATAAAAAAACCATGTAACTTAGGGTGAGTTCGAGAAGAGGATTGAGAAGATTGGGAAGATACGCAAAACGAGGTGAGTCATTAACGCATGATTAATTGAGTATTAACTATTTTAAATTTCAAAATTGGATTAATAAGATTTTTTAAAGCAACTTTCCTATAAAATTTTTTTGCAAAAAAACACACCATTTAGTAGTTCGGGAAGCGTACACGCGGAAAACGAAACAAACAAACTCTAAATCACCTCACCACGAATGCAGCCTTAGATCCGATTAATTACAGTAAAAACCTCATTTTTCCTTGTTTTTTATTACATCGTAGATGTCTGGGCCCACTTGTCAACCAACCAAGCTACGACCACCATATCACCGAGAGAAAAAAAATTGGCGCTCGTCATCGCTCCGCTACTCCGCCTCCCGATCTCTCCTACTTCCCCACCACAACCGATGCCGGCGGTAGCCCCCTCCCCCCCCCCCCCCTCTCTCTCCTAGCGTGTAACTCCATCTCCTTGGCGCCCTCCCCCTCTTAGCAATAGCGTCTGCCTTCGTCCTCAGTGCAGCAGGCAACCGCGCCTTGCCGTTGCGAAACGGCTTCGACCGCTGGTGGACGAGGAAGCTGTTGCTCATGTATTTGTAGACAAGGAGACCATTGGCAAGCCTGACGTGTCATCGCACCATCCTCTGGTTCAGCCAATGCAGTCGCTGTGTTTCAACGAGGGCTCACAACACGATAAATGTTAGGGGACGGTGGTTGCCACTGTCGCCGACGCCGCGATGTTCGACTCGAAAGCGCGGCTTGAGGTGTACAATGGCTGTAAGCGGTGACTGTCGCATTCGACGAGAAGCTCCCGATTTAGAGATTGTGGCCATCGGCAGCTAGTCGGATGGGAAGAGCTCCCTCCTTAAGGCCCTCCTCGACTTCCACTTCAATGTCCGGGAGGTCAAGATGGGGACCTACCGTCCCTTTGTCCTCTAGATGGTCCACAGCTTCACCGTCCTCGATCCATGGTGCCTCTTCCCTGTGCGTGTTCCGCTTCTTCCCCTAGGCGGCACCCTTTGGACGTCAAGGTCTCCTTCTCTTTTGAGGATGACAAATGGGCCTGAACATCTGTCATGTAAGAGAAAACAAGGGAAATTGGGATCTATACTACTACGAGACCCAAGTTCGGTTTTGTATAATTTAGGTGTATAGATTTTTGGTATTGAGATTAAGGCATGCCAAGCAAATTAAACTCGAAATAAAGATGAGGGATGGTAAGTGAACTTTTCTGAGCAAAAAACAGGTCAACAATGAGAAGCAAAAGGAAATAAAAATCTATTTTGACTCTCTTAACTAGTAGATGAATCTAATTCGTAATCCTCCACCATAAAATCAGATATGAATGCCCTCTCAACTATCAATATCTGATCAATGTACGTCCTTTGATGGTTCTTAGAGTGGTTTCGTACTATGTGACGTGTTTGTGACGTGTTGACTAGTCAATCCATGTTGAGTCATGAGATATAAGTATATAACAACATGACATTGACGTGGTGGTACAGCCAGAAAAAAAAGAAAATAAAGAAAAATCAGAAGCTCATTATCCCCTCCTTCCTCCGGTCTCAGAATGACAGACATGAAGGACAATACTCCATAGCTCCATGGCTACGGTGAGGAGCAGCAGCTTGCAGCAGAGGAAGCAGCGGGCTTGGTAGAGTCCTCGGCGGCATGCAGTGACTCCGAGCTACGGTGGTGGCTTGGCGGGTCTTGTCAAGCCGAAGGTGGAGTAGGGAAGCCGAAGGTGGAGTAGGGTGGCACTAGGGGCCTGTTTAGCACAGCTCCACCTCCACCTCCACCTCCACCTCCATCTCTTTTGGAGCTGGAGCTTGAGCTCAGCTAAACAGTTTCAGCTTCACAAAAACTGGAAGTGGAGTTGGGTGGAACTCTCTCACAAAATAAACTAGAGTTGTGGAGCTGGGTTTAGGCAGCTCCACAACTCTACTCCAAACCCAACTCTTAGGAGTTAGAGCTGTATCAAACAGACCTCTATAATTGAAGTTGCTGGGTCAACAAGCTCGGTCCAAGCTTTCATCTGCCACCCGACCGCCCACCACAGTTACCGCCACAGTCTCACCCACCAGTGTGAGGACATCTCGCTACAACGACGCCCCCGCTGGCCAGCCTCCACTCACCTCTGCCCGCTGCCGGTCAATAAAAGAACCATTGGTACACTTCACTCTATTAGAATGTACTCCCTCCGTTTCTAAATATTTAACGTCATTGACTTTTTTAAACATGTTTGTTTATTCGTCTTATTTAAAAAAATTAAGTAAATATTAATTATTTTTTTATCATTTGATTCATTGTTAAATATACTTTCATGTATACATATAGTTTTACATACTTCACAATTTTTTTAATAAGACGAATAGTTAAATATTTGCTAAAAAGTCAATGGTGTCAAAAATTTAAAATTTAAAAACGGAGGGAGTACCATAAGCAATCAACAACTAATATGAGACTCATCTAATAAACAGTGACAAAAAATACATTATACTATATATCAGGAGAAGTATATGCGTATATCTAAACGGTGATAATTTAGTGTTCAATTATCCACCGAATGATCACTTAATCACATGATGACTAGTGATACTGAACACAGTTCCTCTCCTTGGCATTCACTGATCTGGCTATCTAGACCATTAATTAGTTTTGACGAACCAATGTAGTTAGTCACATGCATGCAAAGAGATTAATTATTTCAGAGACAGATCGATGTTCTTTTGAGGGTGAGACAGATCGGTGTTGAACCATCCATTTGTCACCTTCTAGCTTTTGCAGCAGTAGTTAAGTACAGGAGATAACTATATACTATTTGAGTCTTGAGAGACTGATTATTGACTAATTGTTACATGTGTGACAGCTCAGGCATTTCTCCCGTTCTGCTAGACACATGCCTGAGCTGAAGAAAAAAGAAAGAAATAATTGGACCTTCTCCTGATAGTTAGTAGTACCATGCATGCATTTAAGCGCTAGCTAATCCGAGTACAACTCACTGCATATATTTATAAGTATAACAACCAATATTAGTCATTGCCACACATAGGATGTTTAATACTCTCTCCGTACTTTAACGTATGACGTCGTTGACTTTTTTTATCAACGTTTGACCATTCGTTTTATTTAAAATTTTTGTAAAAATATAAAAATATTTATGTCATGCTTAAAGAACATTTGATGATGAATCAAGTCACAATAAAATAAATGATAATTACATAAATTTTTTGAATAAGACGAATAGTCAAACGTTGGACGAAAAGTCTACGGCGTCATACATTAAAATATGAAGGTAGTAGTTAGATTAAGCTAAGTCTTTTTAAAACAAAGAATATTTTAATGAGTAGTAAACCAAATAATTGGCTGAATCGATCGCTAAGATATGACCAAGTTGTAGGATCGCACAGCAAGAATCGAGCCCAAACAGACATGGGATAACGGTTGTAGTAACAAAAAAACCAAAACTTTTAGCAAAATTAAAAGTTATCCTTGTAGCTGATGGAGATCGGTCTGACCGGAGTATATACACCAATCTGACCAATCGAAGACCTCCGGCCTAACTGGTGTTGAAGCTCTAGTCTGATCGCCTACCGCGCCGCCAACACCTGTCATCGCCGCCGGTCCAATCGCCATGGTGTCACTGGTCTTATCGCCGGTATGATCGTCAAACCTGAGCAAACACAAATTGAAGATCTCTCAAAAGTAAATTGAACTTTATTACGTCTATTCGTGTTTCTAAAGTGCAACAACATCACTCCTCCCACAAAATTTAATTAAACTCGAAACATTAACTTTTCTCTAAACTCAACTATGTCAAAATCAATATCGGGAGGCCTCAACCCCCTCTCTATTTATAACCAACTTGTACAAGAAATTCTAATCCACTATGAAACCTTCACATGCAGGACACAAACTTTACAAACTCCAATTATATTAAATTTGGACTCCTTCCAAATTCGACTCCTTATCCCATACACACACAATCTCCCTATCATATGCCACAAATAATTTTTATCAACCACGTACATTGTTCTTTAGCCTAAGCATCCTGCATAATATCATAATCGTCCGGACGTCATTTTCTTCCAAGTTGATTCCCGATCCATCACCAGCAACACTCTCCTGAAGCATTAAGACTCAGCTGCACATGAATCAACAAGAAACTATATTCGAGCACAAGTTCTCTCCAACTTGACTCAACATTAGTACACAATAGTATTATATACATATAATAAACATTTAGAAGTCATAAATATAAATTAATCATGAATATCAAATAAATAATCCGAAACTGAAACCGACACAAATTTAGCCGATCAGACCGTCCGCTCGCATAACTCCGGTCTGACCGGCTCCACTCAGCCGAAAACTTGTTCATCAACAATCACTATTCACAATATTTGTCTAACCGATACACAAAACCCGGGTTGATCGAACCACTTTTCTAAATAATAAAATCAATTATCTCAAATACTAATTGTTCGTCATGAAATAATAATGAAAAGACACTTTGTTCACACAAGTTGGCTGTTAAACAAACAGCATCATTTGCTCATCAGTCATCCCCGTGAACTAGTAGGTACACCGGACGGAAGATGAGTCAGCCATTCTATTATCAGATCTGTCCTCGGAAGTCGGAATCTTTACTTACAAAATATTGACCGACCAGGACCAGCATCTTTGGAGACGACACCAACGCGAGATCGCCACGTCGTGCCGATCAGCTCGATCGTGTGTTTTCCTCCGTCCGGCTCGCATGGCCGGCGTCGTCTTCCTCGTCCTCTTCGTGGCGGCCGCCGCCATGCCAGCATCGGTCACCGCAGCGACATCACAGACCGATGCGCTGCTGGCGTGGAAGGCCAGCCTGCTGCTGGGCGACGCGGCCGCGCTGTCCGGCTGGACGCGGGCCGCGCCGGTCTGCACCTGGCGCGGCGTGGCCTGCGACGCCGCCGGCCGCGTCACTTCGCTCCGGCTCCGGGACGCCGGTCTCAGCGGCGGCCTCGACACGCTCGACTTCGCGGCGCTCCCGGCGCTGACCGAGCTTGACCTCAACAGGAACAACTTCACCGGTCCCATCCCGGCCAGCATCTCGCGGCTGCGCTCCCTTTCTTTGCTCGATCTCGGCAGCAACTGGTTGGATGGCTCTATACCGCCGCAGCTCGGCGACCTCTCCGGCCTCGTCGAGCTTCGCCTCTACAACAACAACCTCGTCGGCGCCATCCCCCACCAGTTAAGCCGTCTCCCCAACATTGTCCATTTCGATCTGGGAGCAAACTACCTGACCGACCATGACTTCCGCAAGTTCTCGCCGATGCCCACCGTCACGTTCATGTCGCTCTACCTCAACTCCTTCAATGGAAGCTTCCCGGAGTTCGTCCTCAGGAGCGGCAGCATCACCTACCTCGACCTGTCGCAGAATGCTCTGTTCGGGCCAATACCGGACATGCTCCCGAATCTGAGGTTCCTCAACCTGTCCTTCAATGCGTTCTCCGGCCCGATTCCGGCGTCGCTTGGGAGGTTGACGAAGCTCCAGGACCTGCGAATGGCCGGCAACAATCTCACCGGCGGCGTCCCGGAGTTCCTCGGGTCGATGGCACAGTTGAGGATTCTTGAGCTCGGGGACAACCAGCTCGGCGGTCCAATCCCGTCGGTTCTTGGCCAGCTCCAGATGCTTCAGAGGCTCGACATCAAGAACGCTAGCCTTGTTTCAACTTTGCCGCCTCAACTAGGCAATCTTAATAATCTCGCTTATCTGGACCTGTCCTTGAACCAGTTCTCCGGTGGGTTGCCGCCGACGTTTGCAGGGATGCGGGCAATGCAGGAGTTCGGCCTTTCCACGACCAATGTCACTGGTGAGATCCCACCGGCGTTGTTCACGAGCTGGCCCGAGCTCATATCCTTCGAAGTGCAGAACAACTCGTTCACCGGCAAGATTCCATCGGAGCTCGGCAAGGCGAGGAAACTGGAAATCCTTTACCTATTCCTGAACAACCTTAACGGTTCCATCCCGGCAGAGCTTGGCGAGTTGGAGAACCTGGTAGAGCTGGATTTGTCGGTGAACTCGCTCACCGGACCGATCCCCAGCTCGCTCGGCAACCTCAAGCAGCTCATAAAGTTGGCGCTATTCTTCAACAATCTCACCGGCGTAATCCCGCCGGAGATTGGCAACATGACGGCGTTGCAAAGCTTCGACGTCAACACCAACATTCTGCACGGCGAGCTGCCAGCCACCATCACGGCCCTCAAGAACCTCCAATACCTCGCCGTGTTCGACAACTTCATGAGCGGCACCATCCCGCCGGACCTCGGCAAGGGCATAGCCTTGCAGCACGTGAGCTTCAGCAACAACAGTTTCTCTGGCGAGCTGCCACGGAACCTCTGCGACGGCTTCGCGCTGGAGCACTTCACGGTGAACTACAACAACTTCACCGGCACGCTGCCACCGTGCCTGAAGAACTGCACGGGGCTGTTCAGGGTTCGGCTAGAGGAGAACCACTTCACCGGCGACATCTCGGAGGCCTTCGGCGTGCACCCCAGCCTGGAGTACCTGGACATCTCCGGCAACAAGCTTACTGGTGAGCTGTCCTCCGACTGGGGACAGTGTACCAACCTCACGCTCCTGAGCATGGACGGCAATCGCATATCCGGCCGCATTCCTGAAGCATTTGGGAGCATGACAAGATTGCAGATTCTCAGCTTGGCTGGAAACAATCTGACAGGAGGTATTCCACTTGATTTGGGTCATCTCAACCTTTTGTTCAATCTCAACCTGAGCCATAATTCCTTTTCCGGGCCTATCCCGACAAGTTTGGGCAACAATTCTAAGCTACAGAAAATAGATATGTCAGGAAACATGCTTAATGGCACGATACCAGTTGCTCTTGGCAAGCTTGGTGCTCTGACATTTCTTGATTTGAGCAAGAACAGGTTGTCAGGGAAGATACCAAGGGAACTTGGTAATCTGGTTCAGCTGCAGACCCTACTTGATTTGAGCAGCAATTTTTTATCGGGTTGGATCCCCCAGGCAGCCTTCTGCAAACTGCTCTCTCTTCAGATTCTGATCCTGTCGAACAACCAGCTGACTGGAAAACTGCCCGACTGCCTATGGTACTTGCAAAATCTGCAGTTCTTGGACCTTTCCAACAATGCATTCTCAGGTGAAATCCCTGCAGCAAAGGCAAGCTACAGTTGTTCCCTTATATCGATTCATCTTTCCAGCAATGACTTCACTGGAGTTTTTCCATCAGCGTTAGAGGGATGCAAGAAGTTGATCAATTTAGATATTGGGAATAACAATTTTTTTGGTGATATTCCTATTTGGATTGGGAAAGGCCTTCCATCATTGAAGATTCTTAGCCTTAAATCAAACAACTTCAGTGGTGAAATTCCATCAGAGTTGTCACAGCTTTCTCAACTTCAACTGCTAGACATGACCAACAATGGTTTGACAGGGTTGATTCCCAGATCTTTTGGTAAACTTACTTCCATGAAGAATCCAAAGCTTATATCTAGTCGGGAATTATTACAATGGTCTTTTAATCATGATAGAATCAATACAATCTGGAAGGGGAAGGAGCAAATATTTGAAATAAAGACTTATGCAATAGATATTCAATTAGTGACGGGTATCAGTTTGTCAGGTAACTCATTATCACAATGCATCCCTGATGAATTAATGAACCTCCAAGGCCTTCAATTTCTGAACTTGTCAAGAAACTATCTGTCACGCAGCATACCTGAGAACATTGGTAGTTTGAAAAATCTTGAGTCTCTTGACCTATCATCAAACGAACTTTCAGGAGCCATTCCTCCAAGCCTTGCCGGTATATCTACCCTTAGCAGTCTGAATCTCTCGAATAATCATCTATCAGGCAAGATATCCACCGGGAATCAACTTCAAACCCTCACTGACCCATCAATCTACAGCAACAATTCTGGGCTATGTGGCCTTCCGTTGAACATCTCATGCACAAATTATGCACTTGCATCAGACGAGAGATATTGTAGAACATGCGAGGACCAGTATCTATCGTACTTTGTGATGGCTGGAGTGGTTTTTGGGTCTTGGCTATGGTTTGGAATGTTATTTTCAATTGGGAACTTAAGGTATGCCGTTTTCTGCTTTGTTGATGACATTCAGCGTAAGGTTATGCAGAAGGTGTCCTGTATTAATCAACTTCTTTCAAGAGGGAATACTGCCCAATATCTGTAGCTGTGTTTCCTTAACCTTCTGATGATGAAGTATGTGCTTCCTTTGTATTAAGAGTAAGAAAAATGTAATTGGAAGGGACCTGAAGAAACAGAGAACAGCTGGTTTAATGACAGGTATTGATTTACAAAGCATTTCACTTTACATTGAAACCCCAAAATAGCTGACATACCTTCAGGGCCTCTGGTTTTTAAACTTGTCAGGGAATAATCTATCACGCATGTGTTCCAGAAAGAATTGGCAATTACTATATCTTGGGAGTCCCTTGACTTAATTATGCATTGAGCTTTCAGGTGGCTTCTCTTTGAGAACAGCCTGCCATGGACCTACATTGGATGAGAAATGAAGACCATCAGGAACTTGATAAGTTCTTATTTTACTCTCTGAGTTTTGGCATTGTTTTCGGATTTTGGCTTTGGTTTGGAGCTCTACTTCTACTTGAGCCATTGACAGTCTTCAGAATAATTTCAGTACATGCATCACCAGTTAAAGTAATAGAGTACTATCCTAAGCTTTGCCCCTGGAGTTAATCTATCTAACAATGCATTTATGCATCTTAACTGTGAAATTCCAACCGTTCCCTTCCCGGCGGCGGGGGAACGGGTGGGCGGGAGTCGCTCCGGCGAGCTACGGTGATCTTGCCAGTAAAAAGAGAGGGTAAAGGAGATTTATCGCGGGTAGAAGACGATGGTCACCTCAATTTCGGACCAAGGAACTCGGGTGCGGGCGAATTCTCGGGATTTGGTGGAGCCGGTGAAAGCTAGGGTATTCGCCGCGTTTGCGCCCGGGCGACGGCGGTGGAGGAGGCGAAGTGTTGTGCGGCTCTTGGGCGGAGGCGGCCGTCTCTTTTGCTGTTGGCGGCGGCTTGATCAGTTATTCGGTGAGAGAGATTGAGGTGGATGCGGCAGAGCTCCTCGCTCCTCGGCTTGGCTTGCTGCCGCTGCGAAGCTTTGGAGGGGGGTCTCATGCAGCACAAGCTGCTGCTCACGGTCCAGACTGAGCTGGCAGGGCCACAAGCGAGGAAGAAAAGAGGAAGATAAAGGCTGTGTTTTGATTCAAAATTTTCTCATCAAACTTCTAACTTTTCCATCATATTAAATATTTGTACATATGTATTAAACATTAAATGTGGATGAAAAAAGAACCAATTGCACAGTTTACATGTAAATTGCGAGACGAATTTTTTAAGCATAATTACACCATGATTTGACAATGTGATGCTACAGTAAATATTTGCTAATGATGGATTAATTAGGCTTAATAGATTCATCTCGCAGTTTATAGGTGGAATCTATAATTTGTTTTATTATTAGTCTACGTTTAATACTTCAAATGTGCATCCGTATATAAAAAAAAAATTTGGCACACGAATAAAAGTCAATTTTGGCCTTCCTCGTTCTCTCTCTCGGTCTTTGATCGAATCGTCTCCCTCAACCGCAAAATCGGGTCTAACTGTTTACGCTCAAATTTAACACGTAGGTTCAAATTAAGGAAATTTGCCAAGATTTAGGAAAGTCGCCGGTTTCCTCTACAGGGCCGGTCAAATTGCGGCTTGAAAGCCGGTCTAACCGGCGGTATGTGGCCGGTCAGACCGGCAGAGTCTAAGCCCGAGTCTATTTTCATCAGGTCTCGAGTTTCCTTACTCAAAAATATATGTTTCGAGTTTCCATTGGTTTCTATCCCAAGTTGACGTGGAGGAGGATTTGTAGTAGGCAAGACCAACCCCTATTTAAGGGGCAAGGTCGATTCGATTAAGAAAATCTCTCTCCCCCAACAATCTCTACAATTGAATCGTTTTCTTTTACCTTTTACTTTTCAGCTATGTTTTCTACTTTACCCTAGTTTAGTCTATCTTTATCGGTTTGCGCCATAAATCGTCCGCCGTCGCTGCAAGAGTGCGATTACCCCTTTGTAGGTTTGTCCCGCAAACCTTTTGTTCGCCCACGAGACGGGTAGTTATCATCGTATCGATCAAAATCGGCTCCGCTAGCCGGTTTAGCTTTTCTTTCTACAAAACCCATTTTGAACTAGTTTTTGCTTGATTGAGGTGGTTAGCGACTCCATATCACCGCAATACTTTTAGGTGTCCCAATCATGTTTTCTTCTTGCCAAAAAAAGTTTCCAACAATAATGTCTCTCTATCTTCAAAATCCGGTGTAAATCAACTCCTTCGGTGGTTTAAAAAGTAGTTTATGTTGATGTGGCAATTTAGGCTGGTCAGCGGATGGAACATGAGAGGACGCCGTCTGCGCCGGTGAGGAAGGTCTGAGAATAGATTAAGTAAGGTGGCTCCCGCCGCTGGAAGGGTGAGAGGGAAGAGGGAAGGAGAGAAAGAAGGGAGAGGTGAAGAAGAGGATGAGATGAGCAGGAAGTCATTTACATATGGTTCTCGCTTGCTGATTTAGTTAGTTAACCATGGTTAAACTGTCATTTCAGCATAAACCACTTCTAAAACCTCAAAAGGAGGTTATTTCGAAGTTAGGAAAGATTTTATACCCGGTTTTACGATGATGGAGCCAAAATAGACTTATATTCTGCAAAAGAATTAAGGGGCGAACCCGTCTTGGGAGCATTGTCCTCATACCTCTGGTCTAGTGTGACATGGGGTGTGGTGGTGTGATGTGATTAGTTTTGGCGTGTCACATCAGGTATTATATATGGTGTCGTATAGGGTGTTCGAGCACTAATAAAAAAACTAATTACAGAATCCGTCTGTAAACCACGAGACAAATTTATTAATCCTAATTAATCCATCATTAGCAAATATTTACTGTAGCACAACATTGGCAAATCATGGAGCAATTAGGCTTAAAAGATTCATCTCGTAAATTAGTCACAATATATGTAATTAGTTATTTTTTAGCCTATATTTAATACTTCATGCATGTTTTCAAATGTTTGATGTGACAGGATGAAAAATTTTAGGGTGGGATCTAAACAGGGTCGTAGCCATTTTTGAAAGAAAAAAAACAAATACTCCCTCCGTTTCGAAATGTTTGACGCCGTTGACTTTTTAGCACATGTTTGACCGTTCGTCTTATTAAAAAATTTAAGTAATTATTAATTCTTTTCCTATCATTTGATGTAGGCATATAATTTTACATATTTCATAAAAGTTTTTAAATAAGACGAACGGTCAAACATGTGCTAAAAAGTCAACGGTGTCAAACATTTCGAAACGGAGGGAGTATAATGGTAAACTTACAGTCAACTAACGAAATGGGTACAATTATCGGGGATAAAAATAAAACCTCACAGTAATATAAAGAGGATGATGTAATATTCAGAGGCAAGAAGGAATGGAGAAAAAACTTATGGGTACGTAAGGAATTTTCTCATTTCTCTCCGCATCAACTCCTGATTTGTTTCAAACATGTAATATATTATTTCATCTGTTCAAAATTATAGTGCATACCTTTAACTGTTTTGAGGCACAGTTCGCACCGTTATATTGCCCCAAAAATTTTCATATGAAAGTTTTTTAGGACTCTAAACAAGAGTATATATGATCTGGTTGAAAGTTTTCTTTTTCAAATAAGTTATTTAGTTGATCGCTGTAGTAGAAAGTTTTTAGTCACAAGTCAAACTTGTTGGTCAAAATTACACACTAAAGAAAAAAAAATAAATATAAAGTAACAAACCAAATCTTTTTCTATACAAACCAAAGCACATGCAGTTGGGACATAAAAAAATTAAGACATGGCATGGCTTTGGTGGAAAGTGGAAAGGACAAGGGTGCTAAAGCACATGAACATCGTGTGCGCGCATGTTCGGCAAGGGTCTTTTTTTTTTTAATTTTGTTGTATACTCATTTTGCTAAGCTCTTTTTTAGAGTGAAGTAAAAGAACGGTCCTCATGTGAATGTATCATGTAGATCTTTGTATCATGTAGATATGCAGTGGTTGTGGTGCTGAAATTTTTTTCTCCAACGAAGCAGACTCCAAACAGTAGCCCGAATGGGAGTATTTTCCGAATAGTTTAAAAGGTTAGATTACTTGTGTGATATATCTACTACCGTATAGAGTATTGCCGATGTGAGGAGTCCGAACCTCTATAAAAATACCCCTATACACCGCTCTTTAATTTACTCCATACTCGTATAAACCATGGTAGTAGTACTAAGCTAAGCCCTACATCCAGAAATAATGTAGTCGGGTTTAGTCCATACGTTGTGTGTTGTGCTGCCTTTCTCCCTGGTTTGCTGATTAGTGAGGTGGGTTCTCATAATAAACATATTTTTTTACCAAAAAAACCCTCGGAAGTCGGAATCCTTACTAACACATGATGTTGACCCATCCGAAGACTAGGGTAGCCGGAGACGATCCCAACACGGGGATCGCCGCGTACGTCGTGCCGAGCCGAATGGCGATGGAGCTGAGTAATCTAGTCAAAATACTCTCTATATCCATCTCAGCTTCTATAGAAACCAATATTCATTAAAATTGGAGTTTAGAGTTGAGAGTTAGAGTTTGGAGCCGTACCAAATAGGACCCTGCTCTCCTCGTCCTCGTGCTTCGTCTGCAGGGCAGTAGGGAATTTGGGTCGGCTCGGCTCTGGCCCAGATTGGGCAGAAAGGAAAAGAAAGATAAAGAAAGGGGAGTGAAAAAGTCTATTTTAGCTGTCTACTCTATTGACCCAATTTGATTCTCTCAGCCATAAAATCGGTTATATCACCTCTACCAAGTATTAAAATCGTGCAAAACAACTCCCTCAACTGTTTTAATGGTGGTTCTAGCTGACGATGGCTTCTACAGGGCGGACCGGTCATCGTAAAAATTTTAAAATAGATACGGGCCCAAATGTAAGTGACTACCTCTCATCCCCTCTCTCTCTCTCTCCCGTGCCGTGCAGCCACACTCGCCAAAAACCTACCACTCGCCGAATATTCGCACTAGATGTGGCCTTTTGTCGTGTCCTTCCGCCTGTTCATCCACCCACCACTCCCTCCCACTACTAGTCCTTGGGACACCAGGCAGTTTCGGTTTCTAGTGTGCAGTGGCTCAAGTGCCTCATCCATGGCACATCCGCATAGTCACAGAATCCCTCCTCACACGGGTCTTCAAGGAGGAGAAGGGGGTGGCCGAGTGAGGGAGAGGTGGGAGTGGGCATCGCTGGTTCGACCTACTTCTTATGGGCCACGACCATAGTGCCTATGAATGGGGCTATACCTAAGACGGGTGCCTTCTTTGTCGCTGCTCTCCGCCTCCTCGTCGGAGTCTACATTTGGTAACCTTGACGTCCTCCATCACCTCTCGTCCCTAAGCCAGTGTAACACTCTAAAAATTCAACTAATAAACTGTGGACCATAGTTGACGACTGTCGAAAACTTTTATTAAATTGCATCATACCGATGGTACACCTCTCATTTATTGTAGTTATTATTGGTGCCAACCAAATTAATTCATGGAGTCCTCAAAACCAAATCAAACTATATAAAATAATTAAAGGAATTAAGTTTTGATTTGATTAATAAAATTAAATAGATATAAGGGAGAAGTGTAAACTTATAAAATAAATATGGTAGAACCAAAGCATCTAGAATAAAGTTCATGAAAGATATTCCTAATTACTTAATTAAATCAACTTTGAAATTACCATTTTACCCTCCTATTTTTTTCCTTTTTCCTTTCCCCGTTTCTTTTAGGCAAAATTTGATACAGGACAATCAAAAATCGTGTAATTGGCTGAGAGACACCAAAAAATGTGACACTGCCGATGGACACTACAAAAGTTGTGTAATTAGTTATAGGACACCGAAGGGATTATTTTATAATTTTCGGGCTAAAAGAGGGGAGAGAAATTTCGAATTGACGGGAATGTCCCCTCTACTCCTTCCTCATGGCCGCCATCAAGCGCTCCCAGGCCACCTTCCACTTCTACCACTAGGCCACCACCGCCCAGACTCCCGCCGCCGTCAAGGTCGTCAGCCGCGTCTTTGCCGAGGCCGGATTCCGTAGCGGGGACATCAAGCTCACCATCCTCCGCCCGGCTCCATCCATGCCGCTCCTCGGCCGCCTCCCCACGCGCACCCGCCCACAGCCTCGCCGACGAGTATGCCTCCTTGGCACCCTTCACCGCCACCTCCGCCACCACATCACCGCCGCCGCCGTCGTCCTTCTTCACTGTCTGAAAGCCCTGCACGGCGCCGCCGACGTTCAGCATGTTGGCGAGGCCGATGGGCACGAAGCTGATCCGCCGCTCCAACAAGAGCTCGTAGGTGAACGGCTCGAGGGTGAGCTCGAAGGACTCGTTGCGGCGGAGCAGCTGAAGCTTCTGTGCCTCCACGAAGTAGACGGTGAAGCAGTCGACACCGTCGCCGTTGCCGCCACCGCTTCCGTGCCTCCACGAAGTAGGCGGTGAAGCAGTCGACGCCGTCGCCTTTGCCGCCGCCGCCATGCCTCCACTCGGACTTGTGCCTGTATAGCTCGTTAATTCATCTTCTCCTCTCTCCTTCACATTTGTTTCTAGGTAGCTTACTTGCTCTAAGCGATGATAAATTAGTAATATTCAATTATCCACCAAATGAGCAATTAATTACCACATGACTACTGATATACAAACACAGTCCATCTCCTTGGTATTCACTATTACATAAAAGCACTTATGTGCCGCTTGGGAACCGATCATAGGTACCGGATATCCCAACCGGCACTCAGCAAGTGGCACAGATGACTTTAGTTTGGCCATTTGTTGCATTAATTTTGACAAACCCATCTAGTAGTCACATGCATGCAAAGAGATTAATTATTACCTCCATATCAAAGTACATGTCACTCTTAAGTATGATTTATCCCATCACATTTCATTTAAATTTCTCTCTATTCTACCCCCAACTACCACTACACTCCTAACCATGTACTTCCTCCGTCCCACTCACTAAGGCGCACACATATTTTAAATTTTAACTCTTTAAATATTTGATCTGCAAATACTTTATTATAAATTAAATTTTATTTGATGAAAATTATATTATTGGATTGTCATCTATATTTACTTTTATATGATTATGATTTTGTTGTTACAAACATTATAATATATGAGAAATTTAAAGTCAAAGATTAGTTTTGAAGAGTGCATCAGGTTTGACCGTGTCTTAGTGAGTGGGAGAGAAGGAGTATCATTTAAGGATAGTATAATTTTTTCTTAAACTTTAATCTATGCTAAACTGCTAAGTTATTCAGAATGACGGATGAATTATCTGAGAGACAGATCGATGTTGAACCATCCTGTCACCTTCTGCTAGCTTTTGCAACAGTAGTTAATTACTACTCCCTCCATCCTATAATATAATAAGTTTTAAAGTTAGACACGGTTACTAGGTAGAAGTGAATGGTGGAGGGTTGTAATTGGATTAGTAGTAAAGGTAGGTGGGAAAAATGAACGATGGAGAGTTGTGATTGGTTGAGAAGAGAATATTGGTAGAGAAGTTGTTATATTTTAGGATAAATCCTGAGAGCTAAAAGTTGTTATATTTTGGAACGGATGGACTACTTCATTATAGCCCATAGTTAGACTGATGATTGACTAATTGTTAGAGCAAGGTCAATAGTATAGCCAGCTAAAAGCTATAAAAATAACCACATCAGCAAATTATAGTTAGTGCTAATAGCTAGTGCATACAATAGAGATCTACTATCTTCTATTGCTACACAGTTCCCATCAACCATGAACAAATGCATTCGGTAGAATGAGGTGACCCCACCCAGCTTCTTGCGTTGCCATAGCGTGCAGCCAACAGCACTTAAATGCTTTGCCTTGGATAGAGTGAGCAGCTAGCGACTAATTAGTCGCCTGTTTAATCTCTCTCACCACCTTTTTCACCTCCAGCTAAGCATCAACGCTGACATGGTCATCCTATCGCCAGCATCTACCGTCTTACTGTACCTGCTCTAAGTACATGTGTGACAGCTCAGGCATGTCTCCCGTTCTGCTGGACACGCATGATTCAGCTGAAGAAAAAAATTGATATAATTGGAGCTTTTCCTGCTATCATACCACGCTTGCAGTTATGAGCTCGCTAATCCGAGTACAACTCGCAGCATATTCTACACACGCAATATATCTATCTATTATATTATTAAAGAAATAGAAAAAGAAGCTTCCACGTTCACTCTCATGGCTTAGAAATTCTCACATTAATCGGAGAAAAAAAAAAGCAGAGTCCATATAGAAATACAATTTAGAAAATAGCTGAAATTCGAAATTAAAAAAATAAGGAATATTAGAACATAATAGAGTCTATACAGGAATTTAAAACTAACTAAAATTTGGAATAAACATAATAAAATTAAAAGTAGAGTTTAGAGTCCGTATAAAAATACAATTTACAAATAACTAAAATTCAAAATTAATAAAAACATGGGAAGAAGAGTTTAAAGTCAATATAGGAATACAATTTAAAAGTAACTCAAATTCGAAATTAAAAATTAAAGAATATTGAAAGATGAGTTTAGAGTCCACATAGAAATACAATTAGAAATAATAAAAATTCATAAATAAAAATAAATAATATTGGAAGAAGAGCGTAGAGTCTATATAGAAATATAATTTATAAAAAATTCGGAATTAAAAAATATTAAAATACGAGTCTAGAGTCCATATAGAAATATATATAATTTACAAATAACTAAAATTTGATATTAAAAATAATTAATAACTAACACGTATATAAAATACAATATGAATATTACTACACATTAGTAGTTTTGTAAAGTTATTGCAAAATTTAAAATTATGTTGTCATTTTAATATATTTGAATAATATAATGAGAAAACATATATGCTATTATATGAGAGAAAATATAATGATGCTAACCGCGCAATCTGTGTAGGCCACCATGCTAGTTTATAAGTATAACAACAACAATAATAGTCCTTGCACCCACATGATGGTGACTAGTTAGATTAAGCAAAGTCTTCTTAAAACAAAGAATGAGTAGTGATAAACCAAATAAATCGATCAATAAGACATAAATGACCAAGTTGGCTGTTAATTAAACAAACATCATCACGTACGTACTCCCCGTGAACTCGTAGTAGGTATACCGGACGGAACATGAGTCAGCCATTCTATTAGATCTGTCCTCGGAAGATGGAATCCATGCAAAAAAAAAAAATTCACCGACCTGCACAGCCGGAGACGATCAGCTCGATATATCGATCGTGTCTTCCTCCGTGTGTCTGCTCGCTACGTACGCCTCTGCCATGAAAGAACCGACTGCCCGCATGGCCGGCGTCGTCCACCGTTTCCTCCTCCTCCTCCTCTTCGTGGCGGCCGCCGTCATGCCAGCATCAACCAATGCCGCAGCGTCGTCGCAGACCGACGCGCTGCTGGCATGGAAGGCCAGCCTGACCGACGTGGCCGCGCTGTCCGCCTGGACGCGCGCCGCGCCGGTCTGCGGCTGGCGTGGCGTGGCCTGCGACGCCGCCGGCCTCGTCGCGAGGCTGCGGCTCCCGAGCTTGGGCCTCCGCGGCGGCCTCGATGAGCTCGACTTCGCGGCGCTCCCGGCGCTCACCGAACTCGACCTCAACGGGAATAACTTCACCGGCGCCATCCCGGCCAGCATCTCGCGGTTGGTATCCCTCGCGTCGCTTGACCTCGGCAACAACGGGTTCGTCGGCTCCATCCCGTCGCAGATCGGCGACCTCTCCGGCCTCGTCGAGCTCCGCCTCTACAACAACAACTTCGTCGGCAACATCCCGCACCAGCTCAGCTGGCTCCCCAAGATTACCCACTTCGACCTAGGGAATAATTGGCTGACCAACCCGGATTATCGCAAGTTCTCGACGATGCCCACCGTCAAGTTCCTGTCGCTCTTTGCCAACTCCCTCAACGGCAGCTTCCCGGAGTTCTTCCTCAGGAGCAGCAGCATCACCTACCTCGACCTGTCGCTGAACAATTTCTCTGGGTCAATACCAGACTTGCTGCCAGAGAAGCTCCCGAATCTGACGCACCTCAACTTGTCCATCAATGCGTTCTCCGGCCGAATTCCGGACTCGCTCAGGAGGTTGACGAAGCTCTAGCATCTGCGAATTGAGTACAACAATCCCACCGGTGGCATCCCCAAGTTCCTCGGGTCGATGGGGCAGTTGAGAGTTCTTGTACTTGGCAACAACCCGCTCGGCGGTCCGATCCCGCCGGTTCTTGGCCAGCTCCAGATGCTGGAGGAGCTCCAAGTAATGGCCGCCGAGCTTGTTTCAACTCTGCCATTGCAGTTGGCCGATCTTATGAATCTCTCTGTCCTGAACCTTGCCTATAACAAGCTCTCCGGTAACTTGCCGCTGGCATTCGCCCGGCTGCAGGCAATGAGGGTGTTCAGAATCTCATCCAACAATCTCACGGGTGATATCCCGAGCTCGAATTCTTCGGTGTGGACAGCAACATGTTCACTGGAAATATCCCACCAGAGCTTGGTAAGGCAAGGAAACTGAATATGCTGTCCATGTACGACAATAGATTATCCGGCAGCATTCCTCCGGCATTGGGGAGCTTGACAAGCTTGAAGTATCTTGATCTGTCAGCGAATAATCTGACAGGAGGCATTCCATATGAGTTGGGTCATCTCAGCAATTTGCAATTCCTCAATCTTAGCCATAACTCCATTTCGGGGCCAATTATGGGAAATTTGGGAAACAATTTCAAGCTGCAGGGAGTTGGTTCATCAGGGAATTCCTCCAATTGCAGCTCTGGCTCAGCATTCTGCAGGCTGCTCTCCCTCGAGAATCTAGACCTTTCAAACAACAAGCTCACTGGTAAGCTGCCCGACTGCTGGTGGAACCTGCAGAATCTGCAGTTCATGGACCTCTCCCACAACGACTTCTCAGGTGAAATCTCTGCACTCGGGACAAGCTACAATTGTTCTCTTCATTCGGTATATCTTGCTGGCAACGGTTTCACTGGAGTTTTTCCATCAACTTTAGAGGGATGTAAGACACTGGTCTCCTTAGATTTTGGGAATAACAAGTTCTTCGGTAATATTCCTCCTTGGATTGGGAAAGGATTTCCTTCGATGAGGATTCTTATCCTTAAATCAAACAACTTCACTGGTGAAATTCCTTCGGAGTTGTCGCAGCTTTCTCAACTTCAACTACTAGACATGAGCAACAATGGTCTGACAGGATCGATTCCCAGATCTTTTAGTAACCTCACTTCCATGAAGAATAAAAAACTTAATATCTCCTCAGGAATTATTACAATGGCTTAGTTCCGATGAAAGAATTGATACAATCTGGAAGGGGCAGGAGCAAATTTTTGAAATAAAAATTTCTGGATTAAATTTTTTTCAACTACTTACGGGTATCGATTTGTCAAGTAACTCATTATCACAATGCATCCCTGATGAGTTAACGAACCTCCAAGGCCTTCAATTTTTGAACTTGTCAAGAAACCATCTGTCATGCAGCATACCTGGAAACATTGGTAGTTTGAAAAATCTCGAGTCCCTTGACCTCTCGTCAAATGAACTTTCAGGAGCTATTCCTCCAAGCCTTGCCGGTATATCTACCCTTAGCATTTTGAATCTCTCGAATAATAATCTATCGGGCAAGATACCCTTTGGGAATCAACTTCAAACCCTTACTGACCCATCGATATACAACAAAAATCCTAGGCTATGTGGTTTTCCGTTGAACATTTCGTGCACAAATTCTTCACTTGCATCTGAAGAGAGATATTGTAGAACATGCGAGGACCAATATCTATCCTACTTTGTGATGTCTGGAGTGGTTTCCGGGCTTTGTCTGTGGTTTGGAATGTTCTTTTCCATCGAGACCTTAAGGTATGTCATTATCTGCTTTGTTGATGCCATACAGTGTAAGGTTACGCAGAAGGTGTCCTATATTAATCAATTTCTTTCTAGAGGAAATACGGCTTAGCATCTGTGCAGCTGTGTTTCCGTAATGTTACCTTATGATGAAGAAGTATATTTAGCTTTCTGTTGTTCTGTAATTGGCATGTTTCCTTTGTATATTAAGACTAAGAGGAATTTAAAATGCTACTTTATCTTATCCAAAATCTTATGGCTTTATTCTGGAAATACTCTATCCGGCAGTATTCCAGAAAAGATAGGCAGTTTGAAACCCTTGTGGTGTTATTCCTCCGAGCATTTCAAATTCGTTATGCTTTGGTATGTTAAGTATCTGAAATAGGGTGAGGTAACCACTGTAAGTCAACTTCAGTCAATTGTGGATCCATCAGTCTATAGCAACAATCTGCTTCTTTGTGGCTTCCCTCCATGCACCTACACTGGATAAAAAAATGAAGACCATAAAGAAATCTATGCGCCATTACTTTATTCTGTAATATTATTGGCCTTTTTTTTTGTGTGTTTTGGCTTTAGTTTGGAGCTCTGGTTTTACTTAAGCCACTGAGTTTTCATTTTTCACTTTACCAGATAGAAAGAAGTTGTGCATAAGCAGTAGACATTAATGCACTCTTCAGTTGCAAATCAGCAACCAAAGAATCATACAGTTTTCAGTTTATATTGGCCATTTTTGAAATAGTTAATTCCCATTCAAAAATTAAGTATATTAGATGCATTTTTATGGCATGCATGTGTTCACCTGAATGAACAGCTGTGTTCTAGCTACTCTAGTGTACTATACTCATTCCTACTACTATTCTTGTTGTGGTTGTCCGATGTCTGCAGCCAGCAACCTCACCAATTCGAATTGAACTTTTCATGCATCATGTTTTCTGGAATACGCAAAAAATTGTGCATTTTTGTATTAAAACTTTGAAAAAAGTGAAGTATTACAATATTATAATTCTGAAATGCTATACTCAGGGAAAAAAAAAGAAATACACTACGTCATGTCCCACACCACCACCACACCCTAAGAAAACACAGCCACGACCAAGAACCTCCAAAAGGATGCCTCTAAAAAGGTTAAGACATTAAAAACACCACCATCGCCCATCCCAAAAGATATGGTTTTCGCCTAAAAGATCTTATTAAAGAGGGGAAGAGAGGCACCTCGACAACACCTTCAAGAGGGTTCCGGCGCCTAAAGGCGTTGCCGCTGTCAGCTTAAGATTGGGCTGGCTTTCGCCTGGCGGAACCAAGGTAGCCGTACTGGAAGGTGCGGCTGGATCACCTCCTTTTCAGGGAGAGCTAATGCTTATGCTTATTGGGTATTTTGGTTTGACACTGCTTCACGCCCAAAAAGAAGGCAGCTACGTCTGAGCTAAACTTGGATATGGAAGTCTTCTTTCGTTTAGGGTGAAGTAAGACCAACCTCATGAGCTTATTATCCTATGTCGGAACAAATTAGTTAAACTTGCACCTTTCTTGTTGCTACCTCACCAATCACCAATCTTGCTGACACGTGACTGCAATAGCACCAACGCCGCTTCGCCGGCTGTCCTCCATACGGTTGTCATGCTGCCGACACGACCACAACCATAACCATGACCAATCTTGCGACCAACCACTGTTGCACTATGGCGACCAATTATTAGCCTTCTTCCCATGCCATCACCTCCATCAGCTCACCAAGAAAGGGAGGAGGTGTGACCGCCACCAACCGCTACATGTTGGCAGCCTCGACCTTCCTTTCCTGTCGCCATCTTCACCGTCTTGCCATATGGGACTCCCCATGACCAGGTAAACCTATCAAGAAGGTGAGGAGCTCCATGGAGATGTGAAGGCACCATAGATAGAGAGCGACCCACCATCATCGCTGCCCGTGATGGCGGTGCTATGTGGCCAAATCCGGGCTCGGGGCCCCAGATCCAGCTTCTGCTCCACCCAACACCAGCTACGCCGCCACACGGGTTGGCAAACAGCAAACCTCCGTCGTTGCCATGCACGCTGGTGCTCCGGTCGAGTCGTCCTCAAGGCGTGTTAACCCTCCGCCTGGCAACCCCTGTGCATCTCCATGCGCCCAAGGAGAGGCCCCATCGTCGCCACCACTGGCCAGCCGAGCGGCCGTTCGCGAGGAGAGGCAAGGGCCGCCACCGTCACCTGCGTAGGCTTCCACCATCGTCGCCCGTGCCGACCTCCTCGACACCAGCTGTCGCGGCATCCCACTGTCGCTAGCCATCATGGCCTTCCACGCAGGAACCCGCGTGGGACTCCCGCCGTTGATGCTCCATCGTGCCAGCAACTCCAACCAGATCTGGTTCAGAGGCGGCGGATCCACCTGACGGAAGACTAGATCCGGCTACGGCAGCATTGAATCTGTGGCCTACACGCTGCGTCATCTTCCCAGCGATCCATGCGCCAAGCCACCTTCGTCACGCTGAAGGCGAGGCGCCGCCAGGGTTCGGCCCCGCTGCCGCCATCCCGACTTGCCGCACGGTTCTCTGACAGCGGCGAGGAGAGGGAGAGGGGAGAGCGGCGGCGGCGGGTGGTAGGATTCGCCACCCAGGCGTGGACGACACGGAGGGTGCTGCTTGGATTTGAGTTTTTTTTTTTTCATACATCATGTTGAACGAAAGAGCAGAAGCATTGCCACTCATTTACAGCATCACATACATTTCCGTCATCCACTGAATATTCTTCTAATTCACATTCATAGAAGGAAAAGGGACTGCTGCAGTGAACAGTTCTTTCTAAGATATGTTGATTTTCTCTCAGAGAATTATATGGCAAAGTCATAAATTTCTCCATTTCTCTTCTCTGTCTTACATTTACAAGTTTATTGTTTAGCCTATGGGGGAAAATAATAATATTACCACAGGGATAGTAACAACGAGCAATACAATTGTACAAAGTTGATGAAAGACAGGTTTTGTGATTCAGTGTACAGAATAATTTCTATATATTTATCAGCAGTTAATGTAATATACTATCCTAAGCTTACCCTTGGCATTAATATAATCTGAGGATGCATCTTACAAATCACTAACTGCGAAGTTCCCTTCCTCCCCTCCTGGTGCTTTACATCTCTGCACAGATATATATTCACTTCTGGTAGTCTGTTAGCTTGCTAATTGTGATCAGTTTGAATGGTTCAGAGAGGTAGGCTTGAGTATGCGCAGAAATCTCCTGCGCTACAGATCTCATGGAAGGCCTGGATTCAGGGTTCACCCTTGTGCAACCAAGCGCGATTCTCACGATGAACACGACCTCTTCTGCGAGCTGCCCTGTTGGAGCATCCAGCCGCTGGTCTAGTATGTCCTTGAGCAGTAGATCATCTTCTTCTGATGATGAGATGGCTGGCAGGGATGTTAAGAGGTCACCTGGGTGCTTTCCCATCATGACCTCTAGCGCAACCACGCCAAAGCTATACACATCGCACTTCTCCGTCACCCTCATCGTGTATGCGAATTCTGCAAGAAATAATCGAAGTCGGTAAGTGTTAATGGTGCGGTGCCGTACTTGTCGGAATTTGAGCAGTTCCTTTTCCCAATGACAATCTTTCAAAGTTCTGCAAATCTTCAGGACAGGAGTATGTGGCAATCTATTCAATAATGACCACTCTACTTACAGTAATGACTTCAGTACTTTCATGAATCACAATAATGTGCAAAACAATCTTAAATAGATCGGATCTGAGTTTCTTTCTCTCATTTTTTCCTTTTTTAAACAACAGACAATTCGACAACTATATTTCATAACTACTGCTCTTCATTTGGTAGTTACTTGCACAAAATGTTCTTTTATGGTCAGAAATGTTTGACAGTTTATCATACACTACATTACTACCTGGGAGTATCGAACTAAATTTAGCCATCTGGTTTTTCGTTAATTATGACTGAAACATCCCAAATGCTATTTGGTGCTACCATAAGGATCTCACTGAAGCACTTTGAAGTATAACTAGGATTTGATATTATAAGCTACATTTCAAAAATTGTATGCATAAGAAACATGTGACATTTTAAGGAAAAAAATGTTCAAATTTAAGAAAAGTACCTGGAGCCATGTATCCATATGATCCTGCCACAGAAGTCCAGTTCGTCGATGCACCCCCAAGCAACTTCGCCGTGCCAAAATCACACAAGCGCGGCTCAAAGTCTGACTCAAGCAGGATATTATTAACAGTAATATCACGATGAACGATGGCTGGATTGCAGTCATGATGCAAGTAAGCCAGGGCATGAGCCAGCCCCTGCACCACCTTCACCCTCATGCCCCAATCCATCTTCTTCTTCCCTTCCTCCCCATACAATGTCTTCCCCAAGCTGCCCCTTTCCAAGTACTCATACACCAGGTACATGTAGTCACCACTGGTGCAGAAGCCATGGAGCTTGACAATGTTGCGGTGGCGGACCTCCGTCAGCGCCTTGATCTCGTTCTCGAAGCTCTTCTTGTTCACATCCGGTATGTCACCCGTGTCGGCGACATGGAAGCGTTTGACGGCCACAACCTGCCCACTGGAGAGCTCAGCCCGGTAGACACTTCCGAACCCTCCTTTGCCGATGCAGAAGGTTTCATTGAAGTTGTCCGTGGCGTTCACGATGTCGAAGAATGTGAACTTGCCTTCCTTTTCCCAGATTGTGGACTCATATGAATAATTGGTGTTAGATTCCACCTCTTTCTTCTCTCTAGGCCTCCTCCTGCATAACAGTATGATGCAAGTAACAACGGCTAGTAGTAACACCACTCCAACTACTGACACAACTGTTGCAATGACTACTCTCTTGTGATGCCCAGAAGATGATCCGGTAGAACTGATGTCACAAGGAGTTAGACCTTGCACATCACCACAGAGCCCCGAATTCCCAACATATGCAGAAGCTGAAGCATTCTGGAAAACATTCCCTGACGGTATACTCCCGGTGAGTCGATTATAAGAGAAATCAACTGATTCGAGGCTTGACATGCGAGAAAACCCTGCCGGGATCGAACCACTGAGCTCATTGTGTGATAAGTTCAGTCTCTGCAGAGTTATCAGCTTCTCAAGATTTGGAGGGATCGCGCCTGATAGAGAATTGCTGCTCAAATCAAGCAGGATCTGCAGCTGAGCCAGATTACCAAGCTCACTTGGTATCTCCCCTGACAACCTGTTCTTGCTCAAATCAAGCAATATCAGAGCATCAAGCTTGCTAATGGCAACTGGTATCGTCCCATCAAGCATGTTCCCTGAGAAATCGACTTTCTGAAGCTTGGAATTGTTGCTCAAGCTCGCCGGAATCGGCCCGGAAAAGGAGTTATGGCTCAGGTTGAGATTGAAGACCCTGATATTTCCCAACACAGGTGGAATCCCTCCTGTCAGATTATTTCCAGCCAAATTGAGATCCTTCAAGCTTGTCATGCTCCCAAATGCCGCCGGAATGCCGCCGGATATGCGATTGCCGTCGAGATGCAGGAGTGTGAGGTTGATGCACTGTCCCCAGGCAGACGACAGCTCGCCGGTGAGCTTGTTCCCGGAGACGTCCAGGTACACCAGCTTGGGGTGCACGCCGAAGGCCTCCGAGATGTCGCCGGTGAAGTGGTTCTCCTCCAGCCGGACACGGACCAGCGCCGTGCAGTTCTTCAGGCACGGCGGCAGCGCGCCGGTGAAGTTGTTGTAGTTCGCCGTGAGGTGGTCCAGCGCGAAGCCGTCGCAGATGTGGCGCGGCAGCTCGCCGGAGAAGCTGTTGTTGGTGAAGCTCACGTGCTGCAAGGCCAGGCCCTTGCCGAGGTCCGCCGGGATGGTGCCGCTCATGTGGTTGTCGAACACGGCGAGGTACTGGAGGCTCCTCAGGGCCGTGATGGTGGCTGGCAGCTCGCCGTGCAGACTGTTGGTGTTGACGTCGAGGCTTTGCAACGCCGTCATGTTGCCAATCTCCGGCGGGATTACGCCGGTGAGATTGTTGAAGAATAGCGCCAACTTTGTGAGCTGCTTGAGGTTGCCGAACGAGCTGGGGATCGGTCCGGTGAGCGAGTTCACCGACAAATCCAGCTCTGTCAGGTTCTCCAGCTCGCCGAGCTCTGCCGGAATGGAGCCCGTAAACTTGTTGGTGAATAGGTAGAGGATGTTCAGTTTGCTCGCCTTGCCGAGCTCCGGCGGAATCTTGCCTGTCAACGAGTTGTTCTGCACTTGGAAGGATATGAGCTCCGGCCAGCTCGTGAACAACACCGGCGGGATCTCACCGGTGAGGTTGTTCGTGGAAATGCCGAAGTACCGCATTGCCCGCATCCCGGCGAACTCCGGCGGCAAGCCACCGGAGAGCTGGTTCAAGGACAGCTCGAAGAAAATGAGATTCTTCAGATTTCCCAGCTGCGACGGCAGAGTTGAAGAGAGCCCCGAGTTCTTGATGTCGAGCCGCTGCAGCATCTGGAGCTGGCCAAGAACCGGCGGGATCGGCCCGCCGAGCTGGTTGTCGCCGAGTTCAAGAATCCTCAACTGCGGCATCGACCCGAGGAACTCCGGGACGCCGCCGGTGAGATTGTTGGCGGCCATCCGCAGGTCCTGCAGCTTCGTCAACTTCCCAAGCGACGCCGGAATCGGGCCGGAGAACGCATTGATGGACAGGTTGAGGTACCTCAGATTCGGGAGCTTCTCCGGCAGCGTGTCCGGTATCTTCCCGAACAGAGTGTTCTGCGACAGGTCGAGGTAGGTGACGTTGCCGCTTTTGAGGATGAACTCCGGGAAGCTGCCATTGAAGGAGTTGAGGTAGAGCGACATGAACGTGACGGTGGGCATCGGCGAGAACTTGGCGAAGTCCTCGTCGGTGAGGTAGTTTGCTCCCAGGTCGAAGTGGGCAACCTTGGGGAGGCGGCTGAGCTGGTGCGGGATGGCGCCGACGAGGTTGTTGTTGTAGAGGCGGAGGTCGACGAGGCCGGAGAGGTCGCCGAGCTGCGGCGGGATGGAGTCGCTGAAGCCATTGTTGCCGAGGTCGAGCGAGGCCAGCGAGCGGAGCCGCGAGATGCTCGCCGGGATGGCGCCGGTGAAGTTGTTCCCGTTGAGGTCGAGCTCGGCCAGCGCCGGGAGCGCCGCGAAGTCGAGCGCGTCGAGGCCGCCGCCAAGGCCGGCGCCCCTGAGCCGGAGCGAAGTGACGCGGGCGCCGCCGGCGGCGGCGTCGCAGGCCACGCCGCGCCACGCGCACACCGGCGCGGCGCGGCTCCACCCGGACAGCGCGGCCGCGCCGTCCTGCAGGCCGGCCTTCCACGCCAGCAGCGCGTCGGCCTCCGTCGCCGCATCCGCCGCGGCGACCACCACCACCAGCAGCAGCAGGCGGAGGGCGTCGTGTCTCCGCGGCATTGGCGAGATCTAGCGGCGGCGGGTCAGTGGCTTGGGTTTGGCTGCTTTGGAGGCAGCCTGGTTGGTCGCCGGAGTTCGCGTGGAGGGAACGTTTTTTTTTTAAGAGCTTGCGGCGCGGGGGGCGGTCAACGGGGCGGGGTTGACCAAAACACGTGGGGTGGGGGTTGGGTGGGGTCGACGGCGGGTGGGGGCCACGTACGTTTGTGTTGACGTGGAATGATTATAGCCGTGCGATGTACGGCCAGCCCAGTGTCAATTTGTGGTGGCCAGATGGCGTGGGTCGGTCGAAAGTCCAAAACCCAAACCGGAGTGTGTCGTGTGGTACGTGGGGTGGGATGCCATATTCGCCCCCAAATATAATAATTTTTTTTTGTCATATCCTTTATTTTATTGGTGAAATAAGCCAAACGATATATTTGTAAATTAAATAAATTTTTTATATATGTGTTTTTAGCAATCTAGAAGTAAAGGCTGAAAAATAAACTTTGATTGAAAAAACCTCAAAATCAACTTTAAATTTTTTATGTTAAAAATTTAAATTTTGGTAGATAAGTATAAGCATAAGCGAAAAGATGAGTCCCTTAGTATCGGATAACATTCTAGTACTGGATGTGACATATTCTAGTATAATGAATCTAGACAGATGTATGTCCAGACTCGTAATATTAGGATATGTCACATCTAGTATTAGATTGTTTTTTATGGGATGGAGAGATTATGTGATTCTAAATTTTTATATTTTGAGATGGGCAGTAATCATAATCATGGTCCTATGTGTCCTAGGAATTTAGGAACCACGGGCGTACTGGATGTGTGTGAACATTTGTATGTTTGACTTTGGTGATGTTAATATTATCTAAAATTTGGATCCAAACTTCAGTCCTTTTTCATCACATCAACCTGTCATACACACACAACTTTTCAGTCACATTATCTTCAATTTCAACCAAAATCCAAACTTTCCCTCAACTAAACACAGCCATTGTCTCTGATCCTACAGCCCCATTTCCACTATCAGAAACATATTACGTCAATCATTAATATAGAGGTATCCACATTAAAAAAAAGGAAATCAAAGGTGCTCAACTGTCTAATTGTCAGTGTCAGTAAAACTAGATCCACAAATTCCCAATGTCGTCTCATCACAGGAAGATGCTCATCTAGAGTTGAAAATGAGCCGATCTTGGTACGGTGCTATTGGAGTGGGAACGTGGGATAAACTTGCTTTCTCTCAAACATTAGAAAACACGCTCCACTTGGAACTTGATTGTTTTGATTGTTTGATCTACTACTGATAAAGCCGTAGAAAAACAAACTCAAGCAATAGAAAATGATTATTAATGAAAATTTAAAATATTTGTCCTTAGCGTTTTAAAAACCACTGCTAAAAAATAAAATTAAGAAAAAAAACTCAATATCAGCCCTTAAACTAATTTATAAAATTTGAGTCCTAGTTGCGGTTGATAAGACAAGAATAATTGACGAACTCAGAAAAATGACTGACTGGCCGATCTTACAACGAATCGCAGTACAGACATATGTTCATCGTCGACAAGTAAGAAGCTTTTAGCTTTGTGCGCCAAAAAAAATAATAAAAAAAAGAACAAAGGAGAAGCTTACCAATGGCTTTCGCTAGCGGTTAATTGTCGGTGTCAGCTGACTCGGACGGATACACTGTACATCATCCACGAGGATCACGGCCAAAGCCGGTAGTCATTCCGTTCTAGATTATAAATTGTTTTGACTTTGTCAAAATTAAATTGCTTTAAGTTTGATTAAGTTTGTAAAAAAATAGTAACATTTTCAATATAAGATAAATATATTAAAAATATTTTTTCGGGGAAATTATAAAAATATTGACTTTAATCATTGACTATATTTTCCTATAAACTTAGTTAAATTTAAAGTAATTTAACTTTGATCAAAGTTAAAATAACTTATACTACGAAATGAGGGAGTATGTACTCAGCACAATTGGCAACATCATTCCCCGCACGATCTCCTACCCCCAATGCAAACGACTGATCGAACTGAACAACATTTTCTCCCCTCCTGAAACTGTGGATGGCGATGGCCATATTCAGCAGTACCCCAGTTTTATTCATCGCTATAGAAACCGTGTGTGTGCATCTCATTCTCCAATTAGACACATGGGCAAAGAGCTCAACTTTGACCATTCACTTCTCATTGTGCCGGCCTGTTTCTAGAGTGCCGGTGAGCCGTGCACGGGACTCCGAAAGAGGCAGATTCCATATCCATCGATCTAGGGGTGAACAGAAATCTCGAAGCTCATCGCTCGAATCGGTTTGTAACGAGCTTGATTCAGATCGACTCAAACTCATAGTTTTAATAAGTCAAGCCAAGCTAGAATTTTAACTCGTGAATTTAATGAGCTACTCGTTTAGCTGGTTAGTACAGAAGATCACCTATCTTTATATGCTTAGCCCTTCTTAGCTAATGATGTTTAGTTCCTTAACTACATCCAACCAACCTACTTGAGTTTAGTGAATTTTTTATTAGTCAGTGTTTATTATTATTTATATGGAATAAAATGATAAATTTAGAATTATAGAGGTGAAATAAATATGTTAACGAGTTTATTTCAATTTTATAATTCTAAATTTTATTAGCTCGTTATCCACCCCTCATCGCGGCCGTTTTGTCGTTCGTGACCACTTGAATCATATACGGCTTTAGACAGATCAGTAGTGCTCTGCGAGAGCTTCCTGTCGATCGTGTGTTTCTTTTTCTAATTTTTATTAGTGCAGAGTTAGGCGAACTTTGCAAATGCGTAGATAGCTACCATAACACACGCCGATGACTCGTCGGAGATGACCGGGCATGCAGTGTTTTACTTTTCGTGTTCAAAATGCTAATGCTACCATGCATTGTTCTGCCAAACCGTGTGATTAGCTTAATTACCGCATGCTCCTTTGTTTTACATTATAAATTGTTTTAATTTTTCCTAAATATTTTTTTAAGTTTGATTAAATCTATGAAAAAAATACAGTAACATCATTAGCACAAAACAAACATATTATCAAACTATAATAAATGTTAGTTTTTAACGGAACTAATTTTGTGTTATATATGTTATTAAATTTTTTTATAAATATAGACAAAATAAAAAAATATTTGACTAGAAGAAAGAAATTCAAAGCGACGAACGGAGGGAGCAGGAGGTTATGACGAGTTTGACAATCACTAGCTCGAGTCGTGCCGTTTTGCTCACCAGTCACACATCGCACAATCGTCGACTCCTCGTCATCCGAGAAAGGAGGCGTGTGCAGCTGCGACCGCGGGCCGTCAACATATATCCGTTCACAGTCGAAAGTCGGAGCACGAGAAAAAAAATTAAACGCACAAGCCCGGCGGCCAGTCGACCGGGGCTCATCCTGGGCGACTAGGGGTGAAATGATGACGAAAAATTCCCAATCGACCGAACGTTTTCAACCTTTACCCTTTTTAGCTATATATAAAAATTATTCTTTCTAATTTTTCAACATCGTATTGATGTTGATATTGAGTAGTTTAAATAATAAATATGGTTAATTATCGGCTGTCTGGGGTGGGTTTAACCCTCTCTAGAAAAACTAGAGTCGAGACCAGTTGCTATCTATTCTTTTATGTCGTGAAAGCATTGTTTTAGAAGAATGCTCCCAATTCTAATCGTTACTGACTGTTTTCACCCATACTCGCAATGACGTCGACAAGAATTTACTGTTTGCCATCCTTATAGGTTCAAATGTCACTCTTTGAAATTTTCATTTCCATTTGTCATCCAGTCTAACTCTCTCGTGTGTCACTATTCCTACTTTTCTAGTTCACTTGGTGTTACATTTGTATTTTTTTTCCTTTCTATCCGATGTGTCGAATGATGCCAAAAGACTGAAATGCCCTTGGGTCCATATGTAAGAGGCTTCTCCCGCCCTACCCAAGCTGAACCAAAAGAGAGGAGGGGGAGACAGAGCCGCTATTGGGAAGATGGAGCCCAGCGCCGATGCTGATACATCCTCCCCGACCGCGAACACCACAAACCATGCCCCCTCCCCAACGTGTAGAACCACCCAGCCTCAACGTGGTCCTAGCAGGGGCGGATCTATAGTTATAGGACCGGTGTCAGGCGACAACGACGACTTTTGGCAAAACCTATAGCTAAACTGTTTATTCATATGCTATAACACCATGATCTAAGTATAATTAGCATATTATGACATCGATAGACGCGTTCTGACACCAACAAATCGATTTTCTGGATCCGCCACTGGGTCCTAGCACACTCCTCCTATCTATCCTCACCTCCTGCGATGCCGGCGAAGAGGAGAATAGGGGGAGACGAGGCAGAGAATCAGCCCACGACTTGCCTCAATTTTTAAATTTTGAAAACTATCAACTTAAAGTTTAAAGTTTGAAAGCTTTCAACTCATTATTTCAACTTTTAACTCGGATTAGAAAACTTTTAAGTCAAAATTTTAGAACCTTCAACTCAATATTTATTTAAGTTTTAAATTTTGAGTTAAAAGTTTTTTAAAATTTGATTTGAGAGTTTCAAATTTTGAGATGTAAGTTTTGTAGTTTAAGTTCAAATTTTAAATTGAAAGTTTTAAATAGAATGTTTTGAAATTTAAGATAAAAGATCTAAATTATAAAATACATTAAAAATAAAAAAAGTACGCTAAAGATTAAAAAATCGTGAAAAAAAGGAAAACGTGTCAGGAAGTGGGGGAAAGCGTAAAAAATGGAAAAAAAAATCGTGCGGGAGCGTCAGCTGACATATACGCGTCAGATAGCAATCCCCGAGATGGGGCCATGGGATGGGAAGAAATTCCAAAGTCCAAACCTGTGTGTACGTGTGGGGTAGTCATCATGGTCCTCTGTGTTTCCTGGGAATTTAGAAACCACGGACGTGTTGGATGTATGTGAGTCAAGTGGTCTCTTTGAACATACATTTGCGTGTTCGCTGCCAGGACTTTCTGCTCCTATATCCTCGTTCCATTATCAGAAACTGATTACGTGACAGTGTAGAATCATGGATATAAAGGTGTTCAACTGTGGGTTAAATTAGAAACCACAATG